ATACCGTTTTGAAATTTTTATTAACATTTTTCACACTTTAGGCTCCGAATTCGCTATATTTGCCTCTACCATTTAACTTTGGGTTCATATTTAACCTTTCATATGTTTAAGTTTCACATCACCCCTTCTTTATTATGCTACGCGGCTCCTAGGTGGAGTAATGTGAAACTTAACAACTCAATGGTAAATATAAATCCAAAATTGGATGGTAGGAACAAATATAACCAAAAAGAATAACAAAGGATAAATATAACTCTTTTCTAAGTGTAAAGGGCTAATATGACCCTTGTATAAATGAAATAAACAAATATATTTTAAAAACAGTGGAAAAATAAAATTAAATGGAAGGGGTATTATAGTAATTTCAACAATAATTAAAAAGAAATTTTACTCATAAATCATATTTCGTTAATGTATTTTATGCCTTATATTATCAGCTCTTTCTATTTAGGTATCTCAAAAGAGTTTTAAGTTTTCAACGACATGATGTGTGTGTGTGTATATATATATATATATATATATATATTATCGAAGTAATAAATGAAGTAAATAAATATATTTAAAAAATAGTGGAAAAATAAAAATTAAATGGAAAAATATAGTAATTTCAACATAAATAACAAGATACAAAATTTTACTCATAAATCACGTTTGTAGAATGTGCTTTATGTCTAATATTCTCAACTCTTTCTATATAGGTATCTCAGAAAAGTTTTTAACGACGTAACGTTTTTTTCAAAATAGAAAATATTGATCTTTTCTTGATATAACAAAAGTAATAAATGAAATAATTAAATATATTTTAGAAATAGCGGAAAAATAAAATTAAACAGAAGGGCTAATATAATAATTTCAACAATAAATATGAAGACGCATAATTTTACTCTTAAATCACATCGCTTAGTGCGTTTTATGTCTTTCATTACCAGCTTTTTCTATTTAAATATATGAGAAGCGTTTTCTCAAGTTTCTTCAACGACATAACGTTTTTTAAAAAGATAAAATATTTATTTTTTCTTGATATTTTTAAAACAAAAATCGAATAAATAAATATATTTTAAAAATAATAGACAAATAATATTAAACTGAAGGGTTAGTATAATAATTTAACCTATAAATAAGAAAACAGAAAATTAACTCATAAATCACATTCGCTAAATGTGTTTTATGCCTTATGTTCTTAGCTCTTTCTCTTTAGATAATTTAGAAGGGTTTTTTCAAGTTTTCATCGACATGACGTTTTTTTAAAACAAAAAAAATATGTTTTCTTGATATTGTTAAAGAAATAAATGAAATAAATAAATAAATTATAAAAAGTAGTGGACAAATAAAATTAAACAGAAAACAAAAAAATTTACTCAAAAATCGCATTCGTTGGATGTGTTTCATACTTTATATTCTGAGTTCTTTCTATTTAGGTATCCGAAAAGGGGATTTTCAAATTTGTCAACGACATGACTTTTTTTAAAAGATAAAATATTTATCTTTTCTTGGTATTATTAAAGTAGTAAATGAAATAAATAAATATATTTTAAAAATAAAAAAATTAAAATTAAATAGAAGTTATATAATAAAAATAATTGACAAAATAAAATTAAATGGAAGTTATATAATAATTTCAACAATAAATAAAAGACACAAAATTATACTCATAAATCGAATTCGCTGAATGCGTTTTATGTCTTATATTCTTAGCACTTTTTATTTAGGTATCTAAGAAGATTTTTTCAAGTTTTCAACGACATGACGTTTTTTAAAAGATAAAATATTTGTGTTTTCTTGATAATATTAAAGTAACAGAAAAATGTTATATTTGCCCTAATATTTTTAGAAAATGGGCTATATGTATCATTCGTTATACTTTTTGGTTATATTTGTCTCTACCATCCAACTTTGGGTACATATTTACCTTTTCAGTTGTTACGGTCCACGTGATCCCTTTTTTATTATCCTATGTGGCTCCTACATGGAGTGATGTAGAGCTTCACAACTTAAAGGTAAACATAAACTCAAAGTTGAATGATAGAGACGAGTATAACCAAAAAGTCTAACAAAGGGTAAATATAACCTTAATTTAAAAGTACAAGGACAGATATTACCCGTTTCCGTTAACGTAATAAATGAATTAAATAAATATATTTTAAAAATAATAGACAAATAAAATAAAATGGAAGAAGTAATATAGTAATTTCAACAATAATTAAGAAGACACAAAATTTTAGTCATAAATCACATTTGTTGAATACATTTTATGCCTTAGATTCTCAACTCTTTCATTTAGGTATCAAGGGCTTTTTCAAGTTTTCAACGATATGACAATTTTAAAAGATAAAATATTTATATTTTCTTGGTAATATCAAAGTAATAAATGAAATAAATAAATATATTTTAGAAATAGTGAAAAATTAAAATTAAACGGAAGGGATTATATAGTAATTTCAACAATAAACTTATAAATCGCATTTTGAATGTGTTCTATGCTTTATATTTTCAGCTCTTTCTATTGATGTATCTCAGAAAAGTATTTTCAAATTTTCAAATACATAAAACTACAAAACTTTAAAAAAGTATATATAATATTTATCTTTTCTTGATATAATAAAAGTAATAAATGAAATAAATAAATACAAATTAAAAATACTGAAAAAATAAAATTAAACAAAACAGGTAATATAGTAATTTCAACAGTAAACCAAAAGACATAGAATTTTACTGATAGATTGTATTCACAGAATGTGTTTTATGTTTTTCATTCTCAACATTTTTTTATTTAAGTGTGTGAGAATTATTTGTTTAAGTTTTCAATTACATAACGTTTTTAAAAGATAAGATATTTATCTTTTCTTGAGATTATAAAAGTAATAAATGAAAGAAATTAATATATTTTAATAATAATGGATAGGATAATACAGTAATTTCAACTATAAATAAGAAGACACAGAATTTTACTCATGAATCATATTCACTGAATATGTTTTACGCCTTATATTCTCAACTCTTTATATTTAGACATATGAGAAGGTTTTTTCATGTTTCTAACGACATGATATTTTTTTAAAAGAAAAATTATTTATATTATCTTGATATTATTAAAGTAATAAATGAAATAAATAAATGTACTTTAAAAATAGTGGACAAATAAAATTAAACAAAAAAGGTAACATACTAATTCAACAATAATTAAGAAACACAAAATTTTACTCGTAAATTACATTCGTTGAATGCGTCTTATGCTTTATATTATCAGTTCTTTCTGTTTAGATATCTGAGAATAGTTTTTTCATTTTTTCAATGACATAACGTTTTTTAAAAGATAAATATTTATCTCGTCTTGATATTATCAAAGTAATAAATGAAATAAATAAATATATTTAAAAATAGTGGACAAATAAAATTAAACGAAAGAGGTAATATAATAATTTCAACAATAAATAAGAAGACATAAGATTTTACTCATAAATCACATTTACTGAATACGTTTTATGACTAATATTCTCAACTTCTTCTATTTAGGAATCTGAGGATATTTTTTCAAATTTTCAATGACATGACATTTTTTAAAAAGATAAAATATTTATCTTTTCTTGATATTATTAAGATAATTGAAAATGGTCATATTTGCCCTTATACTTTTAGAAAAATGCTATATTTATCCTTCAGCATATTTTTTTGTTATATTTGTCCGTACCATTCAACTTTGGGTTCATATTTACTCTTTCAGCTGTTAAGTTTCACATCAACGCTTTTTTATGATCCTATGTGGCTCCAAAAATATAACAAATGATAAATATAATAATTTTTTAAGAGTACAAGAATAAATATGACCCTTTTTCGTTTTTTAATATTATGCAAGGTTATACATTGACATCTTTTGGCTCACATGATAATGTAAAAAAATATCATTCTATCATGTGCAAAATTTAAACTCATTATCACAACCAAAAACTACCAACACAGAAAGGGATCGAGGAAAAAAATCTAAATCAACTCGATCTACGTACATTCCGATATATTCACTTAGATTTCATAGAGTATATTAGAAAATATAATGCATGTACTAAGTATGTCTATTAGTAGTACCTTGTTTTGTACACTTTTTCTTACCATGTATTAGTTACACACTCTTCTGTGTATTAAGTTGTCTATTACTAATATCAAGTCATTCTAGGTATTAGTAATACATAGCATTTAACACTTGCATTAGCTTAAATAATTACAAGACTACCCTCAAAGCCTTTTTAAAACATTTCTTAACATTTTCTCTTCTTTTCATTTTCTTTCTTCTAAATTCTAATATGTTTTTATTTTTGTTTTTTAATGTCTTTTAATTTGTTGGTATCTTAATAAACTTTATGGCTTCTTAAATATCCTTTTTTTAAAAACTAAATTCAACATAATTAATAAAAAAAATTACTAACTTTTCACAAAGATATTTTGACTCAAGTAGTATAATTATTTAACATTATTTTTGAAAAAAAAGAAGAAGAGAAGTTAAATGATGTTTTAGCAAAGAACTTTGTTAGAAGGAAGTATAAAAATAAATATAATGTGAAGAGTATTTTTTTGAACATATATTTTTATATAGAAATTACGTAAAATTTGTTATTTTTAACACATCAAATCAAATAGTGTATAAAAAATATTGCTGGCATAACTAAGGCAAGCATTACTAATGTTTCACTACTAATACAAGCATTACTATTGCACACTATTTTATATTATTCTTATATACTTTACCAAACGATCCTTTTTTAGGGTCATGAATGAACAGAGACTTGGTTGTTCAATTAAAGTGTTACTGTATAGTAACTTCAAATTCTTGCACTTTGATATATATCTAAGAAAAGTAGAAAGAATACTGGCCGTCCAAATCATCAAATACAACAAAAAAATATACTTTGTAACTAGAATAACCTTTTTTGGACTGCATAAATTATAACATTGCACATATGCAATTGAAAATTACTTTATTGAGAAATAAAACAAGGAAAACCACCATATTGAATTTAAAATGTAAAACCTACTTTTCACAAGTTGATAATTTTCTTATATTTTATGGACCAAAGTTAAGTACAAAATATGGCTGTGAAGAACATTGATATACTCTAACCCCACCTCCCAACTCCTTTGCATATATATATATATATATTCAATAGTACATTGATCTTTGGGAACACTATTTTTTGGTTCCAAAAGCCAACAATAGATCAGAGTTTCCCCACCAGTATCCAGCTTTCATTCCTGAAACACAGTTTTCCAACCCGAAAATCAGTTAAAAACTATAGAAAGATAGTCCCAACATTGTCATTGATAAATTAGACATATACAACACATTGGCCATGACAATGCCTCAGCCAGTTCCTAGCAATGACTTGCTGCTACATTATGGGACCATGAATGAAACGAGGAGTCCATTCGCGAAGAAAAACATACATACCATAACAAATGCACTAAACTGTTAACTTCTCGCGCCAAAAATTCTTTCTTATGATTAGAATTCTTTCTTCGCTCAAGGAGAGAGCATCAGTCCTTGGTTCTACCTCTGATGACCATCCATCCCACTTTAGAGCAGGCAAGAATTTTCTTACGGAGTTTATTATATGAGGCTTGTCCCTTATAATGATAAATCCTTCTGGCCTTAGCATACGGTCCATCTCAATAAGTAGATCCTCGATGCTGCACCCTCGATCTTCTGTCTCCGAGAGGATCATCCACGAATGAAGTAGGTCATACGTGCGTGGATACGTTGAAAATGATTCACACCTAATTATATATGATGGTTAGTATTCAGTAATTTGAAGGTGCCACATAGAAAGGATATATATTGCAAGACTACAACATCATCATTCAAGCAACAAAAATGCTTCTACATGTTTCTCCCTGGCTCCTTTCGTCCCATAGACGTGACTTACTTTCTACTTTGAATTCTTACAAAAGACTGACCTCTTTCATAGTGTGTTTTACAGAACTACGAAAGCTGAGGAAGAAGGTTGAAATCTTGTTCATTCTGTTTCTATTGGTTACAGGACTCCTATCTGTACAACTATACAAGTCTTAACTATTAATTTACTGTTTCACATTACAATTTGAAGAAATTAAAGTACACCTAAGAATCGTAGATCGGGAATGAGAGATGAGTGATAAAAGTCTAAAGAAGTGCATGAAGTCTTTAACAAGCTATGGGATAAACTTGAAAGGAGCGAAGAGGGATTAGCAATATATCGTTCACTATTAATTCATCATTATTTTTTTCTATTTTCTTTCATCCTCAATTTAAGTAATTTTATAGAGATCAAGCTCCTCTTCTGTAAATTTATTAAGAAAAATAAATCATATAAATCATTGGTAATCTTCCAAATATCAACTACTAGATATGTAATAAATGAGAATGCATTTTGGATTTCTAAGATTGGGAAAGTAAGCAGTTAGCAGTAGGGTGACCATATGCCACAAAAACAGAGCAGTTATTCTGCTTATCCATGGGAAGGGGGAACGAGGATGCAAAGAGAACAATATCTGAAAGAGTGAAAAGTAACGCACCAGTCATGAACTGTTCCGATTAAGCCTCGATCATAAATTATTTTCAATCTTGATGACATATTAACAGGAGCAACATTCATCACCCAAATGTCCTTATCCTTAAGTGCAGCTGCAAACCCACCGAGGTTTGAGTTCATGTCCATCACATTCCTAACTGAGTTTTTAAGGACAACAGACTTCATCTGCTTCCAATACTCGACTACTCTTTCATGCCATACGTTCTGGAAAATCACATATATTAAAATGTTAGTTAAAAGACAAACTGAACAAGAAACAAAAATCATTAAATAAAATCCAACAGAGATACTGTCTTCACTGATTTGAGAAACGTACAGTGTCTTTATGGAATTCGTCCAATGTGACACCAATTTCCTCCAAGCGAGGTGGCGGAGCCATAAGCCTCCGTGGCCAAGGTTCTAGCCCGGTTCCTTTTTCCTTATGCACCTCTTCAATAACAAATAATATAAAAATTATCAGATTAAAGAAGAATATTAAGTATGTGTGATCCCCTTGCTAGAAGAAGTTGAAACGAATGAAACAGTCACTGAGACTGACAGTTCTATGTGAACTGTCACTTCGTCCATTTTTCTTTTTTTATGAAGTGTGAGTTGTCACTTCTACAACAATCACTTACAATCCACAGCCAAAAGTGGCTATTGACGCCACAGTATAAGCAGAAAAGTTGGTCATTTATCAGAATGATACATATGTTCAGCCATTCAAGACGTGGATTGACGAATATGAACATAGCAGTTGCATACTTACTTGCTGAGTAAGGAGTGATGCAAGCTTTCATCGGTACATTCCAAGATTCATCGGGCTCATCACCAGAAATGCACAATGGAGGTTGTGTCCCCCGACTTCTCTTCATATAACAACTGTTACTCAGAGGTTTGGCCCATATCACAGTCTGGTCTCTCCTTGAAACAACTCTCCAACACATTCTTCTCAATAGATCATACATTGCATTCCAAATTCTTCGATTCTCGGCGTCATGCGCATAAGCTTCAGGTGAAGAGTACACAAAATAACCACCTGGTCTGAGCAATCTGTCAAGTTCTAACAGAAGAATGCCATCTCTTTGGAGCCAATCAATTCTACAGCGTGAACAATGTGCCAACTCGAATGACCTGCTAGGATAAGGTAGCCTTTTGGTTCCCAAGACTCCTAGCGTAGATGGGATTCCCCTTTCCAAAGCAAACTGTATCTGATTCTCATGTACATCATTAGGAGCAAGTGACATAGCTATAATATCATGGGAAAGAAGATAAGCCCCAAAACTAGCAACACCACAGCCAACATCAAGAACATTTCTTATGTTTCCACCATTGCTGAGCTTTTCACCAGGCAATTTGAGCATCTACACAAGAACATAACCGGACCATCGAATTATAATGCAATTCCTATAAGCAAATCAACCTGCAACATAAGTAGAATTAAGCTCAATTACCCCTGCAATTGCTGCAATATATATGTCAGCTCCATAATGAAAATGTGTTCCTCCGCCAGGGAATTTTATCTTGTCTCCATCCACAATCATCCAGTTTTGGTCCGACTTTTCCTGTGCAAGATGTGTATGGGGTATGTTTGCTTTCCACACTTGGTCTCTACTAGCTGGCCATCTAATTGGGATCTGGAAATCTAACAAGGACCTCCTTGGCATCAAAACTAGACAGAAACAATAACATAGCAACATCTAAAAGTAACCTCTGTAATGCACAAGAGGACAAATAGTAAAACAAATTGAGTAAACGGAATCAATTCAACCTCATCAATAACCGATACAAGTAGTGAACAAATTGAATAGAGTCAATTAATTCAAGCTCATCAATAACCAAATTCCTTCATGCTTTAGTACACTCTCTTAACAAAAAATCCAGAAAAAAAGCAACCAATGCTGACCTTGTAACCAGCTGGAGGTGGGATAAGACAATTGAAACGACGTTCAGGAGGAGGACAATGTCTCTCATAATGCTCCATAACAGTCAAATTGAGCCTCAATCTCAATTGATATATCAAATTTCTGTCAAGGCAGGGTATCAACTCCGAGTAGCTCATATCACAAACCTAAATAAATAGTTCAAATGAAGAACAAAACAAAGTCAAGCAAATCAAAATTTTAATAAAACCACAATAAAAATGCAAACTTTACAAACATCACTAAGCTAAAAACTCAAGAATTACATGCATACAGGAATACTTTTAGGAACTTCTAGTTCTTGATCTTCCATATCCATATCCATGCGGCCATGGTAAGAAATCCCAGTAACTGGATCAGAACCATCATCAATAGCTAAATGGTCACGCGCTATAGGAAGACCAGGACCCATAAACGAACAATTATAAAGACACACCAAACCCAAGAACACAATCATCCCAAATAAAACATATTTCAGCAGCTTGGGTCTGTGAGACAACTCCTTCTTTTGCTTCATTTTAACAAAAAAACAAAAAAACACCCACTTCAAGATTTCAGCTTTACTCAACTGGGGTTCTTGAAAAAACACTCAAATCCCAAGTAAGAGATGCAGATCCATTTCTGTCATAGCAAGCAAAGAATTAAGACTGTTCAGTACCCATAAAAGGAGTTGCCAAGATTCACTTTTTTCAATTTCAGTGTGTTTTTAGGAGTCAGTAGAAGGAACATGTGGGAATTTTGGATGACTGGGAGTTCAGCTCAGTGTGGGTTGGCTACTGTTTGGTGCCGCTTTTAGGAAGAAAAAAGTAGCGGTGTAGATTAAATACAATGAGCTTGATGAGTCATTTGGTTTCTATTGGATATTGGAATTTGGACATGAAAGAAAAAATTATTTTGACTTTTGCCTACTTTTTGTGTACTTTAAATTGAGTTTAAAAGGTTAATTACATAATCTCCGTAATTATTTATTTATTTTTAAATTAATATATCTATTAAAAAAATAATTTTTGATATATTGAATTAATTATTTCACTTTTATTAATTAAGAAGTGAATAAATTAAAAATTAAATTTTCTTAAGAAATTCTATATTTTCTAAAATAATTAATTGATGATATAATAGGAAAAAAATTATTATTTCTTAATTTGTTAGTAGTAATTAGGGACAGATAAAGTTATAAATATCAATTACTCTCTCTAGTTCATACTTTTCCTATATTAGCTTTTTACATTTTTAAAAAAATTATAAATATAAAAATAATTTTATTATATCATCACGTGAAAATAATAAATATAATATCTTAAAAAGTATAATAAGGAAATGACTATAACGAATGATAAAGGTAAACTAGAATTAAGTGTGAGATTATCCATTGATTTTATAAAGTGAACAAGTATTGTTAAACATTTCAAAATAGTATAGTAGATAACTATTGTTAGACATCGAAAGTAAAAGTAAATGAATTGTTGAGATATGGTACGTTCTTTAGTATAAAATATTAAGAATAAAATTAAAGTTGTTTTCCATTATTACCATTATTTTGAATTACAATCACTATCTCTCTGGTTACTTAATATGGTATAGTGTGAGTTTCAACATACATTCATATCGTTTGAGTCTGAGTCTGTTCGATAATTTAATTTATATTTTTTATTTTGAATCAAAGAAGTTACAATAAAATAAGTTTGATATTCATTAATAGATATGGATACTTTGAGTTCTTAAAATTTTTATTACCTAAGTTAAGTTGCTTCTTCTTACAAAAATAAAATATCTAAATCAATTATTCATATTAAATTACCTTAATAATTCTTCATTCTTACCACAATCAAACTAAATAAAGTGGAAAAGCCATAAAAACAATTTTTAAAGAAATGTCATGGAGATATTAATAAGGCCATAAATATTAACAACATGAGTAAAATCATGTCCAAACATAAAGTATTTTGACAATAACTTGGTACTCTAGTAAATTACTATCATTATATATGAGTTAATACCCAATTTATAGGGTACTAGACTTGAATCCAAATAGTAAATATAAGAAAAAAAATTGATTATCATTTGAATTTCGAGTTTGCTCATAGTATGTTCAAAACCTATGGATGGTGTCAACATATATCAATCAAATTGATTTTTCAAACTCATACATCAAATTAAATTTACGATAAAATAAGTCAAAATAAAATTTTATTTACATTTCAAATCAAAAAAATACAAATCATCTATTTTTCGTTTATACATCTTCAATTTAATTTATAGTCGAAAAATTAAAGTATTTAATTTGATATGAACATCACTGTATATAAATAAGTTTTTATCATTTGTTTTATTTTTCAACAAAAAGGAGAATAAAAAAATGGAATCTTTTCTACATGTAGTGTGTTGTTTCCTTTTCATTTTATGGAATTATTCTGCAACTTGAGGGTAGTGGGGCCCACCAAAAGGGGGTGTGGGGTAAGTTCTAGGAAAATGCATCTTTTTAAGTGTCACGCGCTAGAGGGGAGTTTTGGTACTTTCAACCAATCAGAGGCACGCGTGTTTGACACGACGAATTCTGCTACTGTTTAGATCTAATGATGCTGACTCAGCTGCCTAATAATCGTTCTAATTCCAACCTGTCTTTTTCTTTTCTCAGTTTTTTTTTCTATTTTATGAAATTTGCTATAAAAAGAAAAAGGCATGGAAGAATAACAAAAAGGCAATATTTGGCGGCATGGAATTTCCATTTGTATATTGCTTATTTTCTAAAAAGGTCACAAATATCTTTAAAATTATTTCAGAAGATAACCTTTCATTTATCTATTTTATTGAATATTTTTTCTTCGACTTGTTTTCCTTTTCGGTAAAATTAATACACCTCTTATTTATTTCTTTTTAAGTAATTAAAAATGAGGATGATGATTAAATAGAATAGGTATATATTTTTAATTTATCAAGGATATAATCTAAGATAGATTGAAAGTTGGTGATTATAAAATAGGGTTGTAAGTAGTCTAGTTGCGTCGCACTTTATGAGGTAGACAAGGGGGCTAGATCCTCCTAATAGAAGTTACACGAAATTTATTGTTATTTTTATAATCATACGATTTATTATTGTTCAATGTGTGTTACTTTATTCAATAACTCTAGTTATTCTTTGTTATATTTTTGTCATAGTAATTCACAAAACCTCTCTTTTGATCCGAAAGTGTATAAAAAATAACTCTTCTACTCTACAAATAAAAGGTAAGATCTACACACATCTCAAAATTTAAAACAAAAATCATATATGAGAATATTAGATTACTCACAAAATTCAGAGGTACATCTAATTTTTCTCACAAATAAATTTGACTTCTTTAATTCAATGGCTAATTTATATTTGCTGTGACATATATTCGTTGAAATGATGTCTACACATTTAGACACTCAATATTTGTGACCTTAGTGAGAAAGGGATATTATTCACCTTTGAAAGATACTAAAAAGAAGAAATTATTTTATTATATTTACTTCATTTGCAATAAATTTACATCATGTTACGATAACATGCTCGTCTACACTTGCAAGTGAAGTTTCGAATAGTAAATATAGAGATCCATTTATATGGATTCAACTTTTTCACTGGCTTCTTTCTAAAAGGTTTATATTTATAAAATCAGAATTTTGCTATGTTTTGCATTTATAATGTCAAGCTTCTCAAAGTGTATGAAACTGGCCTCTCATCAATTACACCTCTTCAACTAGATAAAACAGTAACTTAAGACAAAGTTTGACCTGGTGCATAACAAACCATGAGGCAATTTACAATTGTTGATACCTGAATCATCAAAAGCTAGTTCGTCTACATGTCGAAGGCATCAAAACTGACTGGCACCCTACACAGACATTGAATATGTGATAGTGTCAACGCTGAGTTCCATCTACACCAACCAACCATCAGCCTACAAAAATGTTAAGAGCCAGATGGCATCACCACCAGAGATCTCTTCCAACTAGAAGATGTGCACCATGTACAGTTTGAACATTAAAGACTACCTGATTCATGATAGAACTATCAGGACCCATAGTCTAAGGAAGGGCCTTGTCAATTGTTACCAGCTAGCATTACACCTCGCAAAGTCTCTTCGCATTTTCAACTGTTTCAATGTAGAAGTACAATCTCCACAGTGTTGCTTTGTCCTACAATAGGCCCATTGGGAACTTAGAAACCAGGAACTTGGAGAAATTAACACAATTGCAAAAAAATAATAACATATGTTTACCTCGTTTTCTAGATCAACATACACCTCACTGCAGGAATGTCTCTCCACTTGCTTGCCACGGCAGAAAATCTGGACAACACGATCAAGATTCTTAGGTGGAAGGTCCCGTATCAACTGCCGAAGGTGTTGTTTTTCAGGAAAGGTCATTAACCTGCCAACGGCAAATGAAAACCCAGAGAAAAATTTCAGGACAAATCCAACGAGCAACAAGCCAACATAAAATACCGAGATCTCATGTACTACTATTCGACACCAATTAATCAATTCCGCATAAACACCAATTTTAGTAGGATCTACCATACGGATACTCTTTAATCATTCTTCCCTATTTGAGGTCCTTCTAAAATAACAATGGAGGAATTAGACCCTGCCCAGCAGGATCAAACTACAGACCTCCAATTTACAAGTAGATGCTCCACCACTGATCTACAGCAGCCCAAAAAATCTACAAGATATTCTACTATTGTCTTCTAAAAGTTTTTTTGCATGAGTTAGGCTTCTAATACTGTCATGCTTCTAATGGACAGAAATTTACTTGGTTTCAGGAGTGCAAGGAATTTACACCAAGCCAGCCTCTAATTGGGCATAATAAACCAGGGCAACATATTGTAATTACAACAAGGCCATATATTCAGATACATTAAGGCAATCACATAGTTGTAACCTTTATAGGCACACACAGTCCTTTCTACACTTGTCAGTCACTGAACACCAACGAACCCTTCTTCCCAAACTTTTTCTTCTTTGCTTCATTTTTTCTATGAAGAAGAATTTCATTAAAAGGCATCAAGAAGATGCTGACAAAATTACAGGGCATAAAAGGAGTTGCTCTGTTACTTCCTTCAGATTATGACAGAATATTTATCGGAGAATATAAAACAGAAATAGAAAAGAACAATGACGATCCCACTACTAAATTTAGACAAAGAATAAATTGTCACACTTCTTTAACCTTGGACATTTTAGATTCTTTCTCAATCTAAAGGCTGTGTTGTAGGAGTTAAATATTGTCAGAGATGATTTAATCTATTAAGTATGAAATGCATAAAAAATGTATTGTATCACACAAGCATTATATCACAAAATTATAATCTTGTTTTGAATCTTCTAAGAAATTTTGGTTCCAGAGAAGATTTAGAGGCAAAGCCAATCCAACTTCAGCTTCCTAAGGTTCTTATACGCCGAACAAACAAAACAGAAATGAAAACAACAATAAAACGAAACAAATTCTGAAATGAAAACTTCAAATCTTCATGTATCAAATATTCCGAAGTATAAAAGAACTAAGGAAACATACTAAAATGGGAACAGAAAATAATTCAACTTCCAATGTGTTTTGAAATACCTGCAATTCGACATAACAATATCAAGAAGTTCTTCAAGCTTCTCCTCCATGTACCCAAGCTGGCATATTGTCCAACCACAGATTAGATATAGCTAACAAATGTACTAAAACCAGTAAAACTCCTGATAGAGAGAGACACAAACTCCAGCCAAGTTACCGTCGATACAAGTTCATCATAATGCTTCTCTATCAGACTCTCAACCTTTGCGCTATCATTTTGTAGCAAAAACTGCAAATCGTTGTGGACCTGGAAAACAGGAACTAGGGGTGATGAATCATTTCTTTGCAACTACATCAATTCAACATTCTAAGCAGCATGTTAGTTCAGCTTAATAATCGAAGTTTTTTCTTAACCAGTAAAACTCGACAAATAGAAAAAGCAAGCCTAGAAAAGTGCACCAGAGAGAGAGAGAGAGAGATGGATCTTACATCCCCGTCTTCAGGAGTTGCTCCATCATTTTGATCCTTCTTTGCAAGGGAATCTTTTACCTGTTCACCTTCAAGTTTTTTAACATCATTCGTCGTATCTCCTCTAGATGGCGAGATATTCAAGTCTTCTCTTTTTGAATCCTACATATAAGGATTCAAAGAAAGCGTCAAATACATTTCTATAAATAAAGCCAAATGTGGGGTGAGCCTCAGGCAGTGAATTGTTTCACCAATAGATAGTCGGATGAAGGAAGACCCTCAGGTCTGTTCAGAGGGTGGGAAGGAATTCCCATCACTCAACCACACCAAAATATGAAGTCTAACATGACACAAGTTTTTGTTTAGCATTATAGCCACTGAAGTTCAGGTTGGGACGCTTTCCCATCAAACTAACTTATCAAGTAATGCTCTAATATCTTCTTTTGCCCCACCTGTATAATACAACTTTTTATTTGTTGCTGGATAGATAAGGACTGAATTATGCCAAACGACTTTTAGCTTATCATTTAAAAACTAGTTAGTCAAAAGATTGTTATAAAGAATTGGCTAGTCACCAACAACATACCTGATGTTAGTATTCCCACAAGTGGGAACTGGGAAGGGTAGAGTGTACATAGACCTTAACCCTATGGTAGAGAGGTTATTTACGATACACCCTAATCTCAAGAAAAAGCATTTCAAAGTAGGTGAGGAAAACAAATAGCGGAAGCAAAAAGCCATGGCAATATACTATGAAAGCATGTCAACGGCATTCTGAAAAAGTAACAGTACCTACAACAAATGACATAGTACTAAAGTACATTAAACAATAAATAGCAACAAAAATCGAAGGCCTGAAATAACCCGAGTTGCCCATTTAATAAGGGGCATGGGTTGATTACTTCTTCCACTTCACAGTTCACAAGAGTAACCTAGCCCGTGAAGACATGTTTAGAGTGTGCTTGAATCAGCGGCCTACAGACCATCCACTTAATGAGTGGTGTTTGGTCAGCACCATCCGTATTAACACATATAGTTAAGCTTCAAGTCACGCTCTCCGAGATCGATTGGTTAAGGCGTTGGAAAGAAGTTTATGCTCCCTTATTACAAATATTTACAGCTCAAAAAAGATTTAACATCATACTGCTTTTCTTTTTTACCAAATACACAGAAAAGAAAAACAAATTTCAACAATTTTTTATAATCAAGGAATCGCCAAAAGCCACCTTGGTGCACAGTCCAAAACTTGGTGGACAATGGGCTCGCCCTTTTACCCTTCTTCACTTAAATATCGGGCTTTTAGAGATAAGAATTCGAGCTCATGACATGCATCTAACTCACATTAGGCGTCGCTGTCTTACCACTGAACTGAAGTTTGGAGAGCATATCTCAACAAAATATATGGCCGAAAGATTCTTAAAAGACTCCTAATACAGGGATGTTTATGGGTCACTTTTTTAAAACAACAACTACATTCTGTACAAGTAACCTGTAATGTTAAGCCTAGAATTTCTTTTGGAATTGAACAGACGTTACCAAAAGATAGCATCTCCTAAATGAAACATAAACACACTTGCTACTTCTTTAAAAAACCATGAAACCACTTACTGAAAGAGGGGATGCTTTGAGCTTCTTCTGAGGATGGTTCCCTTGATCAGAGTTAGATACAGGACCAGGTACAGCTAATAAACTTTCTTTATACCTTAGGCATGACCGCAACTGACATATGGAAAATACAGGATCCAGAATCTACATTTAAATTTCCAGTGTGAAAATTATATTAATATTATCCCAAATAATTGTTGAGAAAGTCAGCAGGCTTTCTATCATTATTTGTATAATTCTTTGCTTAGAAATGATCACACAACTCACATACTGGCACATCTAACAATTATCGTTTGCAGTTTTGCTATTATTACATCTTTAGAAGCAAAGAGGAGAACCATTGACTGGAAAGAAATGACCACTTCCACAACTATATCGGCACAAGCTGTGATCCCGTTCTTACCACAAAGACATGCACAGAATAAAGGATTCATATACCATAAAACTACTCCCTCTGTTTTATATCACTTGTCCCCTATTGACCTAACTCACCCCTTAAGAAAGCTTTAGTTAGAGGTGTATTTCACTAACTAACCTTATTAATGATGGTTTGGAACTTTAAATTCAACAACTACTACTTTATGTTGTTATTCAATACTGAGCGTAGAAAGAAAAAAATATAATAAAATTCTCTCGATCTCAAAAATTGAAACAACTATTTTTAGTTGAGGCCAACTAATATGAAATGAAGAGAGTATAAAACTAACACTCATTCTAGAAATAGGCAAGTATAAGGAGAACTTTAAGTCCTGTGCAACTTAGGTGAAGGGAAAAGTGGGTAGCGTATACCTCGTCAACTTCCTGTGAAAGGGCAACAACACTTTGCCGAAGCAACAACTTCAATCTTTCCTTTCCGAAGTTTGAAACATGAGCTCCAAAACAATCCGAAAATAAGGAAGCAGAACCACCGGTATATCTGAACTCTTTGGCGATATAGCTATTCATACTACTATTCTTTTCTTCAACAACACCATTTACTTCCCCAGATTTCTCAAATATCTGATCTGAAATTGGAAGAAAATCTTCGTCCTGAGAAATTAACTCAGCCACCTCAGATGCAAAAAGCCCAAAGTAATCTGGTCCCTGTCTGTTGCATTCAGTTGAAGCAACCCGACCCATTTAAGATAATAGCTTCAATGCCAACTTCTACACTGAATTACTATTGGACAAGTGTCGGTAGCACTCACAAAAGAATTACTGCAAAGCTAAAACAAAACCAGGTTGACTGATAAGTTGCCAGAGTAACACGGAGGGAGCTCTTCACCATAAAGAAAATAGACCACAAATATAAACAAGAGATGGAATTGTGTCGTAAATATTGAACAACAAAAGGATTACAACAACTATATTTCCACAAGTGGGGTCTGGGAAGGGTGGGTATATGCTTATCCTTACCTTTGCGGGGTAAAGAGGTTGCTTCCCATAAACCTTGGCTCAAGAAAATCATTTCCAAAATAGGTTTGAAAGAAAGGCAAGATTAAAATGTTAAGATGAAAATACTGAAGAAATAAATGTGTAGACAGTACAAGTATTAAGGATAATCGAAGTAAAAGAAACAATAATAGTAACAAAACTGAAGGATAAGATAATGTCAACCTACTAGTAATAATATTGGAAAGGGAATAGATAAAAGATTCAATCTAGGACCCTGCTCAACCACTACAATAAGAAAACACTCTACTATCTACTAACCATCTACTATAATCCTCGACCTCCCCACTTTCTTATGTCGGAACATGTTCACGACGATCTGCAAGTGAGTCCTGTCTTGTCGAATCACTTCCCCAAAATTATTTTTGGGTCTGTCTCAGTCTTGCTTCGACATCTTGTCCACCACGGCAGCTACTCCTACCTTTCCTCATATATTTTCATTTTTTTATCTAGTCCCTTCTAGTATGACCGCACATTCATCTAATCATCATCATTTCTACGACCTTCATTTTCTAAAGGTGAGATTCTTACCTGGCCAACAGCAAGCACATTATCAAAACTACTACTGGTTTATCTGATGTGACCATTGAAATCTTTGTCAATGAATAGCTTAACGAAATGTGGTATACCTTTCAAAACCTCATCCTAATCCTCCCATAACGCTTCTTGACCTCCTCTTTCAAGCCTACTCGTATCGCATAAGCACTAACAATGTTCAATGTAAGTCCTTGAATAACTAGCATGACCGTCAAAACCCTCTCAATGATCTACCTAACTCCATCACCTATCTAAGCTCTTCATCTACCAAAATGAAAAGCACTTTATTCCTATTCCTCAAGCCTCCGGAGTACCACAACTTAAATTCTTCGCATCCAGAGCCTAGAAACTACCCACTTGGTCTCTTGAATGCAAGTAACATTAATCTTCCTCTTCTTGAGAATCTTCACAAGCTCTATGGACTTACCCTTCGAAGTACCTATGTTTAGATACCCTACTCTTAGCCTAGAGCACCCTTTAACTATGAAATCTCAAGTTCAAATACCCCTAGAGCACCCTTTAACTATGAAATCTCAAGTTCAAATACCAGCAAAGACAAATACCGAGTAATTTCTACTTATTTGTCCTATCCTTTGTAGACAAGTTACCTGATACATGTTGATGGTGGAAGGTGACAGATATCCCGTGGAATTAGTCAGCGTACAAGCTAGCATTGGCAGTGAATCTTCCTAATAATACAATTTTGTTGAACTTGTCAAGCTTGAGTGACTAAGTAATTATAAGGCAAAGCATCGTTGTACAACAAGTTAAATGGCTTGAAGCAACAACATAAGTGGACACACAAGAAATTACATTGATTTATGAGAAAAACGATAGTTCATGTGCAAATGTAGTTGTATGAACGCCTCTAGGAAAGTGTTTTGGACAATGAAAGGTGATAAAATGTGACAAGGGTCTGCCTCGCCTCGATGCGCACGTCTTTTGAAGTGCGGCGCCAATTAATACCAAAAGATCAAAATATTTACTAGCATATTTAAATAATCAAAATCTTAATAGAAAAACATATCTGCGAATATTTAAATTCAAAAACTATAAATAGATAGCGCATCTAGAACTTGAATGAGAGAAAAAAATAGAACAAAATTCAACACGGTGAGGAAAAAGAGGTAGAAGTAAAAGTGACTCTAAAGTCCGAAGAAGAAGAAGCAAAAAGAAATAGAGGAAGAAGAAACCTGAATAAAAAAAAGAAAGACGTATTTATTGGACTTTAAAGTTGTGAGAAATATTAGGAAAAAATATTATTGAATTGTTGTATCTATAATATTACATAGAGACCCTATTTATACACTACAATAGACACCTTCTCCAGCTAAGACACTACAATACAATCTTTTTCTAAGTAGGACACTATATACTATTCTTTCCTATTCTAAATAGGATTGTATACACCTATTACTATGTTAACACTCCCCTCAAGCTAATACAAAAGCATATGTATCTACCTTGTTACAAATGTAATTAATACGAGGACCGATGAAGAGCTTGGTGAGTTATCCGCAAGTTAATCACTCAACTTCACAAAATTGACAATCAATCTCAAAGTGCTTAGTCTTCTCATAAAAACTGAATTTGATGCATAATGTCGATAAATCATAGAGTGATAATGAAGTATTGAACTTCCCAAACCAAGCTTGCACAAGTTGTTTTAGACTATAAGGTGACTAACACAATCAATATACAAGGCTACTAAACTCCCCCAAGAAAAAAATTAGGTGGTTGCTCCTTATAGACTTCTTCACAATGCAACTGTCATCAAAAAGTACATAAAAAGTGACTCTAAAGTCCGAAGAAAAAGAAGCAAAAAGAAATAGAGAAAGAAGAAACCTGAATAAAAAACAAAGAAAGACTTACTTATTGGATTTTAGAGTTGTGAGAAATATTAGGAAAGAATATTATTGAATTGTTGTATCTATATTATTACATAAAGACCCTATTTATACACTACAATAGACACCTCCTCCAGCTAAGACACTACAATACAATCTTTCTCTAAGTAGGACACTGTATGCTATTCTATCCTATTCTAAATAGGATTGTATGCACCTATTACTATGCTAACACTCCCCTCAAGCTAATACAAAAGCATATGTATCTACCTTGTTACAAATATAATTAATAAGAGGACCGATGAAGAGCTTGGTGAGTTATCCGCAAGTTGATCACTCACCTTCACAAAATTGACAATCAATCTCAAAGTGCTAAGTCTTCTCTTAAAAACTGAATTTGATGCATAATATCGATAAATCATAGAGTGATAATGAAGTATTGAACTTCCCAAACCAAGCTTTGCACAAGTTGTTTCAGACTATAAGGTGACTAACACAATCAATATACAAGGCTACTAAACTCCCCCGAGAAAAAAATTAGGTGGTTGCTCCTTATAGACTTCTTCACAATGCAACGGTCATCAAAAAGTATATAAAATCTAGTATAAAGTATATGGATCATGTTGAAATCAATAGAAGAGTTAATATTAAACAAGTCCTCAAAAACTGCCCTAAATATACTTATATCCCGGAGTATTAGATTTGATATTAACAAATAATTATGGGTATAGTCAAAATGATAACACGACCCAATTGAAAAATAGAAATTATATAGGAAAGATCAGATTGATTATACAATCCTATTTGAAAAAGAGAAATAATATGTGTAGGGTCAAAATGATGGCACAACCTACTGAAAAAAAGAAATTATATAGATATGATCAGAATGATGGCATAATCCTATACAAATCACATTTGAGGAGTCACTAAAAAGACAACTGGAACTACGTAAATCCAATCTAATGAGTCACTGAAAAGGCACATGGTGCTATGCAACTCAAATATGAGAAAGTAATTCGAGAAAAACATGGTACTACGCAAATTAAATATGAAAAGTAGTACAGAGAGATGCACGGTGTTACACAAATTAAATACAAATAAATAGTCATTGGAATGATGACACGGTGCTACACTAATTGCATATGAAAAAGTAGTCACCGAAAAGATAGCACAGTGCTACACAAATACCGACGAATATGGGGTTGCACAAAACAATCCTAAAAATTCATCAAAAACTAACGCACGATAACTTGTTTGACTGAGTTTTCTTCCCTGAATATGGGGTGCATGCATATACCATTGACCCTACTTTTGTTAATATATTCATTGGCTAGACGGACTGTATATATGGCTAAAAGCCATCCTCCTGCAGCGGAAGCACTTTGATTGTTTACCAAGATCGTAGAGACTCTGATACCATGTGAGAAATATTGGGGAAGAGTATTATTGAATTGTTCTATCTACATTATTATAGAGAGACACCTGTTTATAGACACTAAAATAGAAGTCTTCTAAAACTAATACACTACAATACAATCTTTTTCTAAGTAGGACATACTATTCCTATTACTATTACTATTCTTATTCTAAGTAGATTGTATTATAATTTATACCTAATACCATTCTAACATGAGTCAATGGAAAAGTATGGTTGATCACCGAAGAAGCCTAGTCGAAACCCTAAAATTACCTTTTAACTTTTTAATCCAAAATTGGTTGCTTTTTTTTAAGAAAATCAAAAGGCGACTCTTTTCTCGCTTGTTGCCATTGTCGACATTTGAAGATCGCCTTGCTACAATGCTAAAAGGCGATGATGGGTTGTCTTGCCTCTTACCCTTGGTGACGAGGCAATCACCTTTCACACCAGTTGAACTTAAAATCTAGACACGTTAAGCACAAACAAAACAAAAATTTTGGACATTTCATAGTTGGTATCTTTTTTCAATGCAAGCGTCAGCTTTTGCGCCTCGACTAACCTTTTAACCAAAGAATACAAGAATGGCGCCCTTAACTAGCCCGATCATGCAAGTTGATTATCCTCACTAAGAATGTCACAAGGTAATTGTTTCCTTCTTGATCATCCTCAATCAACCCGATCATCCCAATCTAGTTGCTCTCACTAAGAACATCATGAGCTAATTGCAACCTTCCCACCAACATAATCACCTGATAACTCTATTCATCAAGGTTTGGATGAATGAAAAGAAATCACCTAATATTTTTTCCCCCAATAGAAATTGAACCTAAAGCCCCATGGCCTTCAACCTACAACTTCATTGACCGTATAGATCCTTGTATGTATATACAAGAGATCTACTAAATATATTGAATATTTTACCATGAACTCAATTATTATTATAATATTAACTAGAGTTTGTGATAGAAACTCATAAACTTCAAATTCTGGATCTACTTTTGCCTGGGTGATCATAGTTGGGTTTTTTTGTTGAGAACAACTCTTGTAGTGTAGATTAGATTACCCACTTCTAAAGTGATTGAATAACAAATATCAAGAGATAAGTATGACAAAAGAGAGATCTTTCGAAAAAGTCTAGGATCTTTCAAAAATAATTTTTCTACCTTAGCGGTAAAATATACCTACATTCTACCCTTTTCTCATACCCAACTTGTAGGATTACACTCACCCTTTGCATACCCCAAATTTCACCGAATATATTGTTGTTGCGGTAAGAACCAAGTATGACCAACCAAGTAATGGATGAAAATCCAGAAACCCTAGTTAGCCCAATCAATCCATAATACCTACGACCAAATCCAACATCAGGAATACAAAAGTTATAAACGATAATCGAATCAATACCTCAACTTGAAAAGAATAATCTTCGAGCAATACGTCGGAAAATCCTTCCTCTTCTCTACTTTTTTGGTGTGTGTTTTCCTTTTAACCAAGGGAATATATATGCGATGTATAACCCGAACAGTTTTCACCTGCTACGTAACTGAATTAAAAAAAAATTGTTAAATTCTTAAGACTTACCCATAAAACTTTTTCTCAAAAACTACTTCACTTTATTTAAAAATAATTTTTATGTGAAATTTGAACAAATATAAAAGCATTTTAATTTTCAAAATAACCGCCTTATTCTGACGTGCTTTGCCGACTTCTTCGTAAGCGAATGCCTCGTGGGATGGAGCACAATAAGTAGGTCAAATATATAGTACTTTTTAACTAAGGCTTTATTTTTTTTTGAATAGTCGATTTCATTATATACGTATATCGCTATTATATTAATGTAATATAATTTCTATTTTAAAATAATTATAGTATATATCATTATTTTTATTATTTTATATAAGAGATATGAGCAATATTTATATCACGTAAAATTATAATTAATTAATTATTTTTATATTTAAACTCTCAAAATTAGTGTTTTAATTAACCTTTGATTTTCTCACTCTCCAGTCAGTTTTCCATGAATCCACCATTCTTCTTGTTGTGGGAAACATCCCTCGTGTGCAGAGACAATGTGCATCGTTGTAAGCAGATTTCTCATCGAATCTAGGCGCAACGAGCTACAGCGATGAATCAAAAGGTGAAGCAAACATCGATGCGGTGAGATGTCCTGACCAGCCACGAACGTAATCGGAAAGGTTCAATAAGGAAGATTTACACATGTAATGACACATTAAGATATGATTATATGTATCTAGTTTTTATCAATGTGTCTTATTAAGTGAGTAGATATCTAATGAATAAATTAAAGATTTACGTATTATTAAAAATTTACCCATACATTTGACACAATTTATTTGAGTTCCATCATATGTATATGATTTTTTATCATGTATCTTAATATTAATATATATATATATATATATATATAAAGAGAGAGATACATGTTTGAATGTAACATTTGAAATTGATACTTATTACACAGTGTTTAGTTGGTTGGATTTTATATATGACAATAGATACATTAAATTGACAAATTTATTACTTTAAGAGTAATAAAATGAAACCAATCAAATTACATGATTAATATATACGTGTTTTTGTCATTTATTAATAATATAATAAAATGAAATTAATTAAACATAGATATAATCCTTGATCTTTGCCTCATATTAAGGGATTTAATTAATTTAAATTTTCATAATTAATTGTCAATGTATTTTGAAAATCTTTAATTAACTCCTCTAAATAAGGAAATTTGTTACAGTTAATTAATTTAAATAAATAAATATGTATCTTAATTTTAAAATTTAACAAATACATATATTTTACAGATTCAAACTCATGTATCCTAAGCATAAAATATGATAGAGAAAAAAATATTTGAAATTATATATTGAAAATTTTAATAATTAAGATCTAAACTATAGAGGTTTATGTAATTTGCCATAATTTTATTCCATTATTTCTCTCATTTGCAAATCAAAATTAAATGACAACTTTGACATAATTTATATGATAGTTTGATTTGGCAAATAAAATTTATTGTCTAAAAATTAATTTGAGAGAACATTTTGATATGGAATTATGATTTCAAATCAATTTTTGGACAAAAACATTACGACCCATAAATGTATGTTTTGCTGAAAAAGACTAATCATTTTAAAATTTATATGTTAAAAAAAACGCATGTGTTGGTATGAAGAGAGTGTACCTTATGAAATAATTATATTATATTAATAATTACTATTATTGTTGATTAGTCGATTTTAGTTATTTATATGTATTTAAAATTTTGTAATCATATATATATAATTTATTTTACTTCCAAAGTTAATATTTCTTATTTGTGAAAAGTTGTGAATTAATAAAAATATTAGACTTTATGAAGAGTAGTAACTTTTATGAAAAAATGATCTTTTATGAAAGGTTGTAACCTTTTGAAGAGTTATAAGTTTTTCAAAGAGTTGTGACTTTTACGAAGAATTGTCACTTTTATGAAAAAATGTGTCTTTTACAAAAGTTTGTGACCTTTCCGAAGGGTTATAACTATTTCAAAGAGTTATAACCTTTTCGATAAGACACAAAAGTCATTTGTTCACACTACCCTTTGTTGTCTATAAATAGAGCACTTTCCTCTCATTTTAAAACAACGTTCTTCTTCCGCTTCTTCTTGACAACTAAATATTTGTGTATTTTGCTACTTTTAAATGGACCACTTATACTTACTTCAATAACCTACTTCTTAACATTTGATAATTTAAGTGCTTCTAGAGTGTACAACCCTACGATAAATTGTGACGAATATTTTAGCCAAAAAAGAAATGAAATGTTTTTTGCATATATATGTGCAATTTTTCAATATGGAGCATTAGGATATTCTCGTGTCTTCCTTGTAAATTATGATTTTTTTATTTGATAAGATTATATAAATTTTGAGAAAATTTTGATAGTTTTTACAAAATTTTAGATTTCTCATGTTTATGAAAAAAAACAACATGTACACAACATCCAAATTGCATGTCCAAAATCAATGTTTTATTTGGACATATAATTTAAAATTTAAAATTTAAAATTGTATTGTTTGCTCATAAATATTAAAACTCATAAATTGCGTTTTTATTAAAATTATCTCAAATACTTTATACAATCTTTACTAAAAAAAAGTTTGTAACAAAAGTACAATGAACTGTGTATTTGTTCTAAAAAAATGCAATATTCATTGATCAACTTACTTCAATAAAAAGAACAAAAGATAATGCATAAGTATCTCTCAAATTATATTCTGAAATTCTTGCGATACCAACTTAACTAGAATCTTATTACCTCCTAAACTATTTTTAAATGGAACAAAACATATCATAAAATGCCGACGTGGCATGAAGAGTGTGCGCATTGATTGAAGGTTACATAAATATTTTAAAAAATAACATTTACACTATACTAAGATCCTATTATCCCTTGAACTTATTTTATTAATAATTTTCCATCTTTTTTTGACCTACGTGACACTATCTTGTGGGCCCAATGTTGGTTGAATTTTTTTTCAAGCTAGTGTCACGTAGGCCGAAAGGGGTAGAAAATTACTTATAAAATAAATTCAGGGGTAATAGGACCTTAGTATAGTATAAGTGTGTCTCTGAAATTTTAGACATAAGTTGAGGGGGTACTTGTGCATTTTTCCTAAAAGTAATAATAGATACAAATATCATTTTTTATTTGGACGTTATTTAATTAGTTTAGTATAGTGAATTTGAGTTCTTCAACTTCTAAACTATTCTGTGTCTTCTCTCACATTTTATCCGATATATAATAAGTAATTGTTTTTAAATCTCTCTCCGACATATTCTTCGGCATACATGTGTTATTTTCAAATCTCTCTCATGCATCTTGGATTTTTCTTGAATTTCTTCTCTAACTTCACATGTTATTGGGAGTAATAATTATAGCATTTCAACACATATTCTTACGAGACATTTCTCTTAAGCTGCGAGAGGAAGAGAGAAAATGTAGTATGACTAAACTTTAATTTCCAGTGTTATACTCAAGGAAGAATAGATGATGACTATAGATGCAGCGACTGATGAATTTGGCGACGGTCCGTGATGGGTTACGTGATAGACGTTGAGGGCATGGTGGGTATTGAAATGGGTCTCTCATACACCTTTGTTTCTAATTTGTTGTTGCTTCTGATTGTTTCTTCTTGACCAGCAAGACTAAAACAGATGACGTACGCTGGTTGGTAGTGAGAGAACCTTTAAATAGCGCATTAATTAAAATAATTATTTGATTTTTTTTGCTCTTCCTTAACCGTGGGAGAAGAGTCTGTCTATCTGCCTAGCTTCCATAGATTTCCTCCAACGCAAACCATAAAGATATCCTAAAAATTCTTCTTAAATTTTAAATTAGTGTCCAAGCAATATTAAAAAAAATTATTTCTCCTTATTTCCAAATGGATGTTATTATGCTTCTACTTATAGAAAAAATATAAAATTATTTTCCTAATTCATTTATTAGAAATATATATTTCAAAAATTAATCTAACATAAAAAAAAATTGTATACCAAACACACCCTAAAGTGTTCTAATTTCCAGTTAACTGGATCTTGCTTTTGCTCTAGTGGCCGGCGGGATCACCAAAACCCTGCAAAAGCCCTAGCGGGTAAGATTATTTCACCTTCAAGCAATTTGTTAGCCTCTAATGGCTTCTATTCTTCGGAGATCTCTGCAAAACAAATTTCTATCAGCGGCAAGAATTACCACAATCCTCAGCTCTAAACCTATACCTACATCACCTTTGTTCAATCATCCTTCTTCCAGTGGGCTTGGTCAAATCCCACTTTTTCTTCAAGGAGGAACATCGGATTCAGAACCGAATGTTGGGTTTTACCCAAGCTTTTCTTTTGGGCATTTCCTAAATCCCATTTCTCCAAATGGGTTGATTTCATCTGTGGAAGATAGCGCTGTTGATGATGATTCGCGTAAGATTTGGGCTGATAGTGTGAAGAAGAAGAGGAAGAAGAAGATGAACAAACACAAGTTGAAGAAGTTAAGGAAGCGCCTAAGGAGGAAGACTTAGTGTATCTGACACTGTGTCATCGGTGAGAAATTTGTTATTGAGGCTGCATTTTGTCGTGTTTAGCTGTTGTGAATCTCTATTTGGCACAGAGTCCATTCTTTTAGTTTGAAATGCCGGAAAGATGTTTTTTTTTTTATGGTTTAGGACAATTTTGGTAGAAGAAATTGCTGAAACAAGTTCTAGGAATAATTGTGTTTACTTTCCTGTTGAATGATAGTATGCTTGGGATGCTCATTAGCCTGTATTTGATGAAATCCTTAGTAGTCTAACATCGATAATCCACCATCTTTTTTGATGAAGCATAGACAATCCAACAGGCGGTCTCCTTAGTAAGATGTGTGAAAAGAGCCAAGTTTCAGGGGCTCATAATTTTCTTTTGCACCTTTGCTGCTATAACATCTCAAGCTTTGGACTTTCTAGTTAGGCAATCAACTTAGAGTGTGTATTTATTTTGATAAGAAGTAAATTCTATTGTTGTAAAAGATATAACCCATCAATAAGAGTATGTTAAGATGACAAAAGACCAAAAGCAACACTTAGATTAGTGCTTACTTTGAACTGAGCTGAGGAAATCTAACCAATAGTCCACCTTCTGTACAACTAACAATTACACCATAAGCAACGATGAGGAGGTATTTTGTTGGAGCATCTTGATGTAGCAATTACTCTTAAGGCTAATTCTATGTGTATGGGTTCTTGTTAGGTCCTCAATGCGATGAGCATGCTAAGAGGGGTAACTTCTAGCTCTTGGTACCTCAGTAAACTAATCAAGTGATTGACCAAATAGCTCAATGAAGATGAGCCTGGATGGCTCTCTTACAATATTATGACTATAATATTAGAAAATGTTCGACCATTTCTTTTTGCCTTGGTGATAGATAATCTGACCCGGCATACTCAAGGGGAGGTGCCATGGTGCATGCTATTTGAAGATGACATAGTATTGATTGGCAAAATAAGTGATAGAGTAAATGATAAACTAGAGATTGGTGGCACAACCTAGAGTGTAAGGGTTTAGGTTGAGCAAGTTTTATGTAGTGGTTGTCACACTATGTTTATTAGGAGTGTTAGTCGGTCAAGAATTCGCACGTTCAGAAGCTGAAAGTAGCGGAAATGAGGATGTTGAGATGGATGTGTAGGCATAGTCAGAGAGAGATGATTTAAACAAAGATATTTGAGATAAGGTAGGAGTAGTCTCCGTGGTGGACAAGATGAGGGATGCGAGATGAGATGGTTGGGGCATGTGTAGAGGAGATGCACGGCTGCCCCAATGAGGAGGTGAGGGATGTTGACTATGGTAGGCATAGAGAGAGGTAGATGTAGGATGAAGAAGTATTTGGGAGAGGTGAGTAGGCAAAAAAAAGAAGATAATTTTCCCTCCCTGCTTCAACCTCCATTTATTTTCTTCTTCTTCGTCCAATAACAAAAACCAGACTAATTAAAGAGGTTTAGCAAAATCTCAGCACCATGGTATTAAGCTTGAATGCTGCAGCCACGGTGGACAATTTTGAGTCGCGGCTTCTTTGTCTAGTTTATTAATATCACAACGGTAAAAATCACTGCTGCAGAGCTGTCGATCCTATATAAGTTATATGACCTACTATTTCCACATTTTCTTCTGCTATCCACACTGTTCTCACTTTCTCTCAATTCTAACACTCCCATCATCCAAAACTCAAATTTCAACTTAACACTTGTCCAAGGATAACTTGCTCCAACACACTACTGATCCACCAAGATATCAAAAGTTCCTCTAAGAATTGAGGTTCTTTATATATATATATATATATATATATATATATATATATATATATATATAAATTTATTAATTCTACTATTTTTTCTCAAAAGAGAAAAGAAAAGAGGTTTTTATTTTTTTAAAGAAATAGGAACGAAAATAAAGCACAGAGGGTTCTCAACAGTTGCTCGTGATGAATCAGTTCAAATCTAATCTTCTCCACTCATGTTTGACACTATTTGATTGATTTGCCCAGATTTTCGTAGTTATTGCCTCTAGATTGTGTGTTGCATGTTTGTTGGTGAAAAAGTGAAGTGCAAGGATGGTTTTATCTACTTGTTTACTAGTTGTTGTAGTTGCGATATCATTATTGCTAAAATTGAATTGTGGTGACCAGAAAAAGGTCGAAGTCATCAGCACTGGGCATGACTTGCAAAATCCAAGTATCCAAGGTTGATAAATGTAGGCATGTCCCTAACGAGGTTGCCTCATGGTTAGGACAGTCAGTGTGAGGAAGTTCATTGCTTAGCTAGGTCTTGATTGTAAAGAATCAGATGGTCTACAGGCAAGGAGAATTCTGAAATCATACTGTAGAAAAGATAGGTTAACTTTCAAAATACCCAAACACGATCATGACATCTCTTCTGAGGGTTTCTATGCAAATATGGGAATACTCAGGCTTTAATGCCACTCAAGTTTGAGGTGAAATTGTCCATTTTTCTCTTAAGGTGCTTTAATAGCTTCTTTGGACTTAAAGCCGTGAAAGACCGAAACACGAGTATGCGTGAGGAACCAATGAGATGACAGCTTTGCTTATCCCATACAATGTCAAGGGATTATTGACAAAAGCAGTCAAATGAGTCAGTTCAACGCCATAATCTGCACAAACGGAGTAGCCTAGTTTCACTTCATCTGCACCAGGATCATGTCCAATCGTAACTTCAGCGAATCCAGAAGATCACGAGAGGGGTGGAATGGGGGGTGGGGGGATTGTAAAAATGGATGATTTTAGGTTATGAAGGTGGAGTTCTGCTTAGCACAAGCATGCGCTTATGATGACTTCATAAGTCATAACACACATTATGCCATGTAGGGCTCGTGTGTTTACGAGACACATTTCTACCGAGTTCAGGTGTCTATATTGGTCACTACCTAACTTCGAGTAACTAATTGACATATCAAGTTTGTCTTCTAAAACTTGTTGTGGATTTTTCTTTTAAAGCATGGGAATTATTATTGTTTATATCTGCCTTGGAAATTCTAGTAGCATCCCATAGTTGAATCTGCATGTATGTCTGAAGTTGATTTTTGATGACCATATGCAGATCATTTTGAAGGTAGAAGCTGCTTGTGGACTGCTGTGTTTTTATTATGGTTTCCTTAAGAAATATTTGATACTCTCCTCATATGTTGGATAAAACAAAGAGCAATGACATAAGTGTTTCATGGTAACTGTCTTTTGACCCCAAAAATAATCCTGAAAGTGGCATCACTGTTGCTCAGTAGACACTTATGGACATGATTTTGTCTCTCTTTCTTCTGTCTGCGCTGTTTGTGCCCCTTTTCTCCCCCCCGGTATAAAGTGTGGGTCTTATTTTATCATCTCAAGTGTATTTCATCTCCACAGGAAATAAAGGTAACTATCAAGCAGAAACTGGGTGGGTTTTAATGTCTCGTAGGGCCAGAGTTGGAATTTAGTTAACCTTTTGGTATTTATGCATTCATTAGAATTGATTTGAAAACCATGTGCACATTCAGTGTTTAGTTCCCTTTTAATATGATTGAGAACCCTCAACTGCCCTTGTCTTGGAGTGATTATGATTGTTAATGGAGTCACATCTTGTTGCAGTATCACAGTGGGGGCTATGGTTCTTCATGTCACCAGTCCGTTGGTTCGACTTGTACATCTTGTTCTCATGTTGTGGACTTGTAGTACTTGAATGTGTGGTTCTGTGTTCTGGACCAAACAGAGCAGGGCATACCAACAATGTGGGGGTGATGTGAGGAAAACATTCATAGATTTTGGACCAGGTGTAAGCAGATACAAACTGAACTTCCATTGAATATCCTTGAGCTGTAACTGGTAGCATAAGCAGTATTTCGTGCAAAGCGTCAAGAGAATTCAACTTCTTTTCGTTGTTAAATCCATCGAAACCTATAGTAACAGTAAAAAAACACTAGTTGATTTCTTCTCATCTGTCTAACTATTTAGTCGAGATGGATGCAAGATGATCTAGACACCACTAATCATAGAAAAAAAAAGACCTTTACTTTTTCCACCTCAATTACTACAAAGCAGGTGGAAAGGTACAATAGATGAGGTATTCCCTTTCTTCTTTTGATGACAAAGAAAAAGAAAAGTAGAGGAATCAACTTTCCCTTTTCAAGTGAGAAAATCACAACAAATGATTAGTAGCAGTTTTTTAGGCAAAGGGGAAGAGAAATATTACCTTCTCTTGTGCCACTTTAACTCAAATCTGCTCTAATTCCGGAACCCTTCTGTTTTTTCAAATGAGGTTGGTGACTTGGTTCCTATACGTTCGACACATAACCATGTTTTTCTCTTTATCATTTTACCCATCTTTTTTTTGGAACAAGTTACAAAGTCTTTAATAATGAAAATCATACCTCCCAAATCTCACTTAATATAAACATATTTAAAGATCAATATGCCAAGATAATTATGAACTGTTATGATATTATAAGTTTTTTCCTCTCAGACTAATATCACATTCATTTTCTGTTGTTTTTCTTGATCAAATAACAATTACTAAGGACCATGCATAATACGAAATAGTGAGTCGCTACTCGCTAGATACATTAACTATAGTTCATAATTATGATATTGAAAATATCAAAACCTCATAGGCATACCATGGGAAAGAGAAACATGGACTTATAAGCTAGTTTATTTTAAAACTCGATTGGATTCCCCCCCCCCCCCGAAAAGCTAACACCCCCCATTTCCCTCGTTTTGGTGCAAAAAATTAGCACATAGTTATTGAAAAAAGTCAAAGTCAAATTTTGTATTTGGGGCTACCTAATTTATTCTTCCTAGTGATGTTACCTAAGTTACTCTTATTATGCTCTATCCAAACTTCATATAAGATTTTCACTTCATTTTATATTTATTAGATTCTTTCTTTCTATATAAAATTTTGATCTCATACGACTTTTTATTCGTTTCAAATTTATTAGATCCTTTTTGCACGATCAAAATTCTCTTTCTTTACACGTATAAAATTAAAATAAAAAATATTTATCATTCAAACAACGCGAAAGTGGTACAAAGACGCATAATGGGAGATAGATAGATAGAGGGGACCATGAGCGACCAATAAGCACATTCTATTCCACGTTTTCTGTCGGCTTTAGTCGTGTAGTGTAGTCAACAAGAACAAGAGTAAACAATATCCAGAGTGTAAAGTTCTTTTCTCTTCTAGAAATTCTCAAAAAAAGAAACCATTAAAAGAGTAAAGGAATTAAGAATGTTGAATGAATCTTCCCATTCAATAGTAATACTACTATAATTTTTCCAGAGAAA